ATTTTCTTTTTGAAAATTGGATGATGTTATTGTACAGCTCTACTTGTCATTATGTGATAATCTTGTACTGTAAATTTGCTTCCGATTTAGGTCTGCAACTGGCCTTCTGTATTAATACTTATGTTACAATATTTTTGTTACTCAGATAATTGCCGGGGTAGTGGAGCATCGGATTTCTGATCAGTTTGCTTCCCAAACCTTTCTTGTAAATATGCTATCTTTTGTATCACGGACAATCAATTCTTACTGGGGAACACAGGTAAGATATATTTTCTTATTTGATCTTATATCTGCTTTTGATCATTTTCAAAATGCTCAGTGTTCATCATCCCAATTTCAAATTTGATGTTTTGGTTAATTGCTGCAGCAATGGATTGACCTTGCACGCGATTACGGACTGCAAGTTAGAAAGACTGAGTCACCTGACCCACCTACATCAGATTCTCCAAATCAAGCTGCAATCATATGCAACGAATCAGATTCTTCAAATCAAGCTGCAATCTTATGCAACGAATCAGATTCTTCAAATCAAGCTGCAATCTTATGCAACGAAGCTGAAGAAGCCAGCATCGATGAGATTAAAAGTGAATGAGGTGAAATTCCCCTTGCGCCATTTTTGTTGTAATCTGTATTTTTTTTCTTGAAGAGCTAGTAAATAGGCACAAAGGAATAGGTTTTTTTCTCTTCATAACAATACAATTCCTTCCATAGCTTAATTGTATACTTGTACCTTTCTTTTATATATATATTTTCACATCCTAATTTCATCAATGTAATATAATGAGTATTTATTTTCAATGTAATAAAACCAGCTATTACTGAATCTAAAAAGTTTTGTTTCTGCAAGTGAAGAACACTATTTCAAATTGAAACCGGAATAAGTCAATAATCGTTCTCGGTTAAATGGGCATCTCTTGGGATGCCTTATTTAAATCGGGATGAAAAAAAATTAGCAGCAGTTGTATTGGACTTCCTGATATGGAGTTTCTCATTTGTACATCTTTATAAAGGATTATATTATGAAGTAATGAGTGTTTTCCTATGTATTTGTAGTAAAAGTTTTTAGGATTATATTATGAAGAAAAATGAGTTTTCCTATTTTTGTAAGATATTTATCTATTTACAGGGGACTACATATCAAAGTCTTAGAGGACAACGGGAGTTGATATTATTATTGAAATTTCATACTATAATCTTGCCACGTTTGAATATTGTTTTAGTTTATTATTCTCTTTATAGATATCACGAAAGTTAGGTAGGGGTGGCAAAATGGATGGATTTGATGGATATGGATTGGATTGTTAATGGATGGATTAAAACAATCCATTAGTCCATTAAAATCCACTAAAATTTTATTAAAATTATCCAATCCGATCCATCCATTAAGAATAAAATCCATCCAATCCATCCATTAACATATTTTTAATGGATGGATATCCATCCATCCAACTTTTCTTTTAATTTCGTAAAAATAAATATATTTTTTTTCAAAAACAAATCAGTTTTTTATTCTGAAAAAAAAACCGATTTTTTTTTCAAAAAAAAAAGTCGGTTTTTTGTTCGAGAAAAAATTTTATTTTTTTTCGAAAAACAAATCAGTTTTTTATTCTGAAAAAAAAACCGATTTTTCAGGAAAAAAAATTGATTTTTTTTCCAAAAAAAAAGTCGATTTTTTTTCGAAAAACAAATCAGTTTTTTATTCTGAAAAAAAACCGATTTTTTTCAGAAAAAAAAATTATTTTTTTTCCAAAAAAAAAGTCGGTTTTTTTTCGAGAAAAAATTTTATTTTATTTTTTCGAAAAACAAATCAGTTTTTTATTCTGAAAAAAATCGGTTTTTTTCCAAAAAAAAGTCGGTTTTTTTTCGAGAATTTTTTTTTTCGAGAAAAAATTTATTTTTTTTTTCAAAAAACAAATCAGTTTTTTATTCTGAAAAAAAAAACTAATTTTTTTTCCAAAAAAAAAAGTCGATTTTTTTTTCGAAAAACAAATCAGTTTTTTGTTCTGAAAAAAAAAATAGATTTTTTTTCAAAAAAATATAGTTTTTTAATTATTTTTAAAAGAATCTAATTTTAAAAAAATAAATCTAAAGAAAATAAAAATAATCCATTGGATCCTTAAAATATGTTGGATGGATTGAATCAATCCATGCATATAAATGGATGAATTGAATCTATCCATGCATATAAATGGATGGATTTAATCCAATCCATTAACTTATTTTTTGTGTGGTGGATGGATTGGATGAATTTTTTGATGGATGGATTGAATGGATTTTGCCTTAATGGATTTAATTGCCACCTCTAAAGTTAGGTCATTGATTCATGGCTAAAGTGGAAATTAAGTAAAAGGAGATTGGCATAAGTTTTTCTACATGACATTATTATTATGTGAAACTTCACATGAGACTATGAGAGGATCCGTGATTGAGGGTAACAAGATAGTTTTCTGGTCAATTCATTGGTTATAGAGGTTGAGATTTGACTTAAAGTCTTGAATCCAAAGTGAAACCTTCGGTGTATTTTTAATTTTATTTATTTTTTAAAATTTTATGAAATTACTGTATATTTTATTGTTAAGTAGTAGCCGCTGTTGAAGTTGCAATTGAAGTTGCAATTGTGTTATTGACTTTGTTTAAAGTTCTATGCTATTTAGGTTTTGGGATATTGAATCTATAAATATGTCCTCACCTTTTAAGCTAGCTTTTAGAGTTAAGATTCAAGTATATTTAATATGATATAAGAGACAATTTAAGAACAACAATGTGAACATTTGGCTTAGGCCTACGCCATACGTTAGAGTGGGTGTTGAAGTTTTAATTGTGTTATTGAAATTTGTTTGAAGTTCTAGCTTGTTTAAATTTTTGAACTAAAGACAACCTCTCATTTGAGTTAATTTTTGGAGATGAAATTTAAGTATATTTAACAAATATAAATAGGGAGATTATTAAACAGGGAGATTATTACATCATATAAAAAGAATATTTTAGGAGAATTTTGTAGTAGAATATTATTATAATACAACAACAAAAATTAAATTTTATGTTTTTATCTAAATTATTAATTTTGAGATATTTTTTTAATAACTTTTAAGATAGTCTTTCTAGGTCTTTTTATTTTTCTAATTGTGAGTCGGTCCAAAAACTTTGATTTTATTTGTTGGGAGAGATTTTTTACTAGGAGCATTGAATATTGTGAGACTTCTTTTGTAAAACAACACTTTTGTGAGAGACACACCACATACTCATCAAAAATTTTAAGATGATAGGTGTGCGAGTTCTCCCACTTTCCTATCTAATGTGGAACTATTACCGATACTATTCACACTTGTTATACTCAACAAATCTAACACTCTTCTCTTTATATGTCCAAACCACCTAAGTTTATTTTCTACCATCTTATCTACTATATACGTTATCCTGACACTCTAATATTTTCATTTCTATTTCTATCATGCTGAGTCTTACCACACATCTACCGCAGTATTCTCATCTATGTTAAACTTACTTTATTATCCTGTTGATTTTTAACTGCTCAACATTCTATCCCGTACAAAATCGCAGATCTTACCGCAGTCCGATAAAACTTTCTTTTCAATTTGAGCGGTACCTTTGCATCACATAAACACCTGATGCTCTTCTCCATTTTAACCATCCAATTTGAGTTCGATGATTATTTCAACATCCTCCTCAAATTGGTGCATAGATATTTATCATGCCCTACTTGCATACAAAATGCTCAAATGTGGGTCTAGGTAAACTTTTGGTGAAGATATTTGCAGTTTGTTAATTTGAAATTGCAAATGATAGACATATGAAACTGACATCTAATTTCTCTTTTATAAAGTGACAATCTATCTCAATGTGTTTGATCTTGTCCTGTTGAACTATATTATAAGCTATGCTGATGACTACCTTATTGTCAGAGTATAATTTCAACAAAATCAATCTTTACTTTCAATTCTTCTAAAACTCCGTGGATCCACACTCATTAACAAATACCTTGAGGCATAATTCTAAATTCAACGTATATACTATTTTTTGCTACCACGTCTTATTTCTTGCTTCTCCGAGTTACAAGATTACCTCAAACATAAGTACCATATCCAAAAGTAGATCTTCGATCTGTTACAAATTTCTAACCAATCAACATTCATGAATATATAGACACGTTTTCATTGCTTTCTTAAACAATAAGTCCTTTTTTGGATTAGTTTTCAGACACCTTAGGATTTTACAAACAAAAGCTCAAGATGTTTCTCTAAAGGAGAATGCATAAATTGATTTACCACACTAATTGAAAAGGCAATAACCGATCTAATATGAGACAAATAAATTAGTTTACCAATCAATCTTTGATACATTCTAGTGTCCTCATAAACTTTCTCTTTTTCCTAAAGTTTTATATTAGGTTCCGTGAGAGCATTTGTTAGTCTACAACCACTTATTTCAATTTCTTCCAGGATATATAAAATATATTTTTGTTAGGATACGATAATTTGAGAAGGCAATGACCAGTCTAATATGAGACAAATAAGTTAGTTTATCAATCAATCTTTGATATATTAACCTGTCCACAAAAACTATCCCTCTTTCACGACAAACACTCATTTGCATTTCACAGTCTTACCACCTGGTAGTGTCATAACCGTCAAAGTTTTATTCTTTTCAAGTGCTCTTATCTTCTCAAGTACAACTTCCCTCCATTTCAAAATTTCTAGAGCGTCCTATATATTTTTTGAAATTTCAACACTTTGAGGTAAATAAATATAAAAAATAAATAAATAAGAAATTGTATGGTCACTCCAAGATATGCAATGAAAGAAAATGCAGAACATCTTTGTTACATGTAATTGAAGATATACCATTCCTTTCTGTTTTGTGGCCAAACATTAATGTGGAAACAAGAAAACTGAGAAAGTAATTTATATTGCAGGGATTACAAGAAGTAATTTGAAATAAGTAGTTCGTCCATATGTCTTCATCATAAAACATAGTCTACATCAACTTTCAGTTCTTTCTGAGTTCTGTCCTTCATCCATGCTTTGGACCAGCATCTCTTTGACTTTATGTAGGGCATGTTCAAGGTTTTCCAGCTGCATATATTTTGTAATTCATGAGTCTGTCTTGAGTCACTTGGTTTAAGGCTTCAAGATTTTTATTTTTGTTTTACCAACATATTTTTGAAAATAAGCATTTTGCTGGCAGTTCCTTACCTCTTGTCTGGCGAATCTGTTGTACACAAATAATCCGCTATACAAATCAAAACTGCATCCCATGACAGGTTCTTTCTGCAATTATGTTGCATGACAGCATATGCTATATAATTTATCTTTTTGAGATTAAAACAGAAAAGAGGGAGCTTTAGAAGATTATGTTAAAAAGTGTTTACCAACTGAACAAGTGCCTGAAAGCCCTTGGTGTCAATAGGAGTAGGTTTAATATCCATTTCTGCCAATGTCCTTGTAAAGAAGACACCGAAAAGTTACAGTCAGTGAGTGTATAAATAGGTACTTGTCTGTCTGTGGTTGGTTAGAAAGATATGTAGGGAGCTTCATACCTGCCTATTGTGTGTGTGATAAATTGGCTCTTTGCAGCTGCTCTATCATGTTCCTCACATGACATTTCTACCATCTTGCAACCCTGAATAACACAATATTGCAAAATAGATCCACCTTGAATACAATTCATATACATGTAAAATTCATATATATTAGGCATTTACAATTGATTTTTGTGCTTTTTTTTCTTTGGAAACTGAGCAGTTGTGGTCCAAACTTGGGAGTTACAGAGTCTGATCAAACTTGCTCCAGATAAGATTTGAAGATTACTTACTATAAGTTTATTTTCGATAATGGCCATATAAAGTTTATCACCTTATCCTTGCGCGACGGGTGAGATTGTAGAGTTATGATTTAACATTTTCCCGATCTAATAATTCTAAGTACTGCTATTAACTTACCTCACTTGAAAAAATTTGGAGAAATTTAGAGCAGGTAGCTTCATCCTTTATTCGAACTCTGTCATACATGAAAGTCAGATTTTGCCAGCCATTTTTCCCACTCACTGGTCCAAACATTGGATGTGTGCAGAGTATGTCTAGCTCCTCTGGCAGCACCTTAAACACACAAAACAAAATCTAGATCAATCATCTGAATGAGACAAGTAAACAAAACTAGTACTATTGGGGTAGATAAATGTAATGTAACTTCTTACTTTTAAAAGAAGGTTCCTTGGGTGCTCTTTAACCGAAAGAACATCGACAAAAAGCGTCGGACGTTTGAGACAAGTGAGTGGCATTGACCCGACAACTTCGGACAGGGACGAAATAGATGTGCATAACAGTATGACATCCATGTCAGCCTCAAGTAATGCTGTAACATCCCTGCAGAGTTTGACACATGCATCATGAAATAGGTTTTATGTTTTCTATACAAGGTTGTTGTTTTTTACCTGAAGAAATGGATACCCATCTGGAGACAAAGTTGAGAGTAATCTGTTCTTGAAGTTGCAGTTAGAGTATGGCCTTGTTTGATCATTGTATTTGCCAGAAATTGACCAAATGTACCAAATCCAACAATGCCAATTTTCAGACTTTTGGAAGATGACATGGTTGGTTGATGAAACAGAAACGATTTGCAAGTTGTTCACGTAATTAAGCACTTATAGGAAGAAGCCAACGAGGCATGCCATTGGCTTTTCAGTTTGTAATGTTAAAAAAATTGATTGGTAGAGAAAGCGGTTATTTCACGCCATCACGTTCTCATACTTTTGCTTAAAGTTTTGATTCTAGAAGCTTTTGAGTTTTATGTTAAGTTAAGAAAGGAAATTACACGCTCAATGTGCGTTTGTTTTAAGTTATTCTATTCGATAACATTCTTAAAACAGGAAAAGTTTCTTTACTACATTTCTTAAGGAATTAAATATTGAAAGTTGTCTATTTAATTCTTTGAAAATTTTAAAGTTACTTCTTATTTTTTTTCCTTCAACTCAGCTTTTATTAAAGTGTCTGAATCACACATCTTGTAAAGCCACATTGTAAAGTATGTTTAATTAATTTTTAATTCTTATTTTCCTTTGAAAAATATATATATATAATTCTTTTTTTTTCCTTTGAAAAATATATATAATTTATTTTTATGTATAAAAGGGGGCATGTAAATTTTGGAAGAATAAAGTGAAAAGAAGTGTGTTATTTTAACATTTAAGTTTAGAAATCAAACTAGTTAAAAACACGTGCAGATATAATAATTTTGTAAAGCACAATTGTATTAAATTATACACATGGAAATATAATAAATCATAAAAATACAAAAACTATTGATATATAAACAAAAAGTGTTAAAAACTAATAATAAAAATACTTTTTAAATCTATAGAAAAAATTAAAGTTAGAAAAAGAAAATGAAATAACACAAAGTAAATCATATAATAAAAAGTAATGAAATTGCTATTAATAAATAAAATGGTGAGAAATAAAATTTATTTTAATGGTAAAAAAGAGTTATCATAAGAAATCTGTATTTATTTTTTATTAAAAAAACAATACATTTAACTTCTAATAGTGCAGAGACATTCAATTTAAATTTAATAATTTAGGACGTTGTAAGATGAAAAAAAGAAAAAATTATAACAAGAATTTTGTGATAATTGTTAATTAAATTAAATTTTGTATTTTGTCTATAAAACACATTGTTTTTGCACTTTATTATTTTAATATATATATATATATATATATATATATATATATATATATATATATATATATATATATATATATATATATATATATATATATATATATATATATATATATATATATATATATATATATATATATATATATATATATATATATATATATTGCATCAACTACAAACATAGAAAAACTACAGATATTTTGCTTATGTAATAGGAATTAAAGATAATTTAACATATACAACTCTGTCACTGACAATTTACAGGATATATTGTGTTCTGGATTGGGTTAAAGATTGTCCCACTATCGGGCACGACCCAACCCATTTCTTCGTCGGGAAGGGCTCAGCTTATCACGTCACACGGGGAGCACTCATGCGTCTCTTCCACATGCACCCCACGCGGGGACACGTCATCAGACAACTACCTACCTTCCGAAGGTCACAGGACAGTTGACCTAGGGCGAATATCACATGCTGGTCTTTCCTACGCCACGTAAGCCCTGGCAGTTATTCGTATTGGGCCTAACGATCCAACCCAATGCAAAGTAACTGTTGGCTCTGTGCTAGGGGCTCATTATAAATACCCTATTTCACCAGAGGGTTAAGTATTCTATTCACAATCTAGCTTTCTATACCTGCCCTTCTCTTACTCTGTTTCTTACTTTAGCATCGGAGTACCTTGCAGGTACACCCCCTCCTCTTCTCCACTACCGACGAATTAAGGAGCTCACGACGTATCGTTGACCGCTGATCTCTTTCTGATTTGGTAAGATCAGTGGCGCCAACTGTGGGGATCTTTCTTCCTCGTTCTTTCTTTCGTAGAAATTCAAGAACCAAAGCATACTTTAATCTCCGTTGATCATGGCTAACCTACGCACTGACGATAACACCTATGAAACCGCCTTCACCACTTTCACCAATGACGACGATCGCTATAACACCCCAAATTTAATTGAAATATTTTAATTTATTTATTTAATTGAGAATATTCGTATTTTGGTGGTTTTCGGTAGTTTTGTGGATTATTGGGAATTATGCATTTTTGAATTATTTACTTAATTAATAGTATACAATATGGAAATATTAGTATTATTATTAGTTAAAATAAATATATGTGAAATAAGGGTAATTTGGGCATTAAGAGGAGTTAGTAAGGGCGTTATGGGAAAAGCCCAATTGTGTGGCCCAAGACTAGGTTTGACAAAAAGGAATTCTGAAGGAAATTAGGATTCATTTTGTTAACCATGAAAAGTATTGAGGCCAGAGCTCTGAGGAGAAGATTGGAGGCAAGAGCTTCGAGAGATTCCCTGAAAGATTGATAAGGCTTTGATCGACAACTAAGGTATGGGGAGTATAACTTTTCATGATTTTCTATGTGTAGATTTCGATGTAGTAAGGTTGATTTAAGGATTTTATGGAGAATTATCAGAAAAAGGGATTTTGGTCTTCGTGGCCTAAATCTAGTTATGGGAACTCTGATGTTATGGTGTAGTGGTAAGTATTCCTGACTGTTAGAGCATAGATATGAGAAAGGGAAACCTTATGCCTTCGTGGCCAAAAACCTTGAATTGTTATATGTCTGACGTTGAAGGAATAGGAATATTTGAATGTGAGTAACTTTAATGCCTTAGGGTGTAACTGAAGAAAAAACTGTGATTTAGGGCTGAATATGTTCCGGGATTGGCCTAATAAATCGTAGGCTTTGTGTCTTTATCGCCGTAGGACCTTAGGGATGATTTAGGGATGTTTTGGGGGCATTGGATAAGTGAATCGTAGAGCCTTTTGGGTAGAAATCAGTTCAGGTGCGTAGCAGAATTTGTTGTCATCGCACAGTTCGCCTAGCGAACCATGTTGTTCCCAGACTCGCCTAGCGAAGAATCCTTCGCCTAGAGAAGAAACTCACCCCAGACTCGCCTAGCGAACATGCCAACGAACGTAGCAGAGTTTCGCGAATGTTGATTGTGTGCAGAGATGCCTTGATGTTTGATTCTGTGATTTCTGTGATGAATTAACTTATGTATGACTGTGAGTTTTACGTGATGTATACATGATGACATGATGATTTATATGACTTGATGTGATGATATTACCATGACTTTGGTGAATTATGATGATATGACATATGATGATGATTGACATGATGAATATGATGAATGATGATGCACCTATGATGTTATTATGAGGATGATTTGTGACGTGTGCATCATGCATTCATGTGCATCCGGACTTCGATTCAGGACCTCGATTACTTTGGCTTCAATCTCATTGTATGGATGTGAAGTGTTTTGATGTACTCCGGTTCTCTAGCAGAGTCGATCCTATTGATGGGGATCTATGGAGGGTTGATGGCCGAGTGTCCATCGCGCAGTGATGATTAGTACCAAATGCATTGAGTCTTGTTGCATTTGCATTTATGAGTCATTTGGAATAATTTATGATGTTGTGGCCTTTGAGGCCTATTGATGGATATAAATGTGTTGAATATTAAGATGACCCATATTATATGTTGATTTTCATACATTGATGAACCGTTTTACTCACCCTGCCTGTTTGAATGTTACCTCCATGTGGGTAACGTGCAGATGACCAGGTTTAACTGTGGACGTCGTTGAGGATTTTTGAAGTTTCGAGTTGTTAGCCTTTTGGTTAACTTAGAGGGTCTTGCTCTGATAGTGTAACATCGGGTTGGGGTCTATGTTTTAATTGATTTATTTTGATTATCTTTCTGTATAAGGAAAACCTTGGATTATACCTTTTGAGTTCCGCTGCCTTTGAGCAATTTTTGATATATTTTGGGAAAACCCGTTGTACACGGAGCCTTGACCTATTTTGTTGATTTGGGATATGTACGCCCTTTTGGGTGGCTTTTTGTTGAAATTTAATAATTACTCTGGTATCTGTGTTATTTTGCCATAATATCTGTGGGGTAGAAAAGGGTGTTACATTAGTGGTATCAGAGCAGGTCGGCCCGTCCGACCAAGTTGTCTAATGTTAATTGTCCCCTGGTATGCGACATGTGCGTAAAAACACTGTCGGTACACGTTTGTTTTCTAACCTTTGTCTGTAGAAGTGGGAATGAATCAAGTGGGGGAGAAGTTTGTGCTTCTCCAGGATGCTGCAAGTGTGGAGTGGTGGCTCAGGGTGTCAATGAACGCTCTTATAGTTTGGTAAAGATGGTTTATACCCCATCATGATATTCGACTGTCTATTGATAACTTGAGGGACTGATCACCTTTAATCTCTTGTTGATGGTGGACGGAGTCATCTTGGATGGGATTAGGGATGGCAATGAACCAAACCAACTCGAAAGTAGTTCGGAATTCGATTCGACAATTAAATCGTTGAACTAGGTTCATGAACCAAATGAGTTGAGTATGAGCGAAAAATTAAGTTCATTAACTAAATAAGCTGAACTTGAACTATACATAGTTCGACTCGTTAGGTTCATGAGTCAACTCAATTACATATGAGAAGAATTATACTGTCTTTAAGATTAGGTTTAAATATTTACTCCAAATCTTAGACAAATTTGATCTTCAATTTAATAGTTTTTGAATTAGACTCTCAAATGTATCTCTTGAACGTTGTGTAGGTTTTGAATTAGTAGATTTCGAAGATAAAGTTAAAATTTCAATATGATAACTTTTATTTTATTTTAATATTTTATTTTAAAAAATATATATTTATTTAAAATATCAAATATACTAAAAAAGATATATATATATATATATATATATATATATATATATATATATATATATATATATATATATATATATATATATATATATATATATATATATATATATATATATATATATATATATATATATATATATATATATATATATATATATATATATATATATATATATATATATATATATATATATATATATATATATATATAT